ATTTTCTGCTATCGTTATCAAAAGAACCTAAATGAACCTAAAAAAGAGTATGTTAATAAATTGTGTAACAATAGTAGGATAATACAATATATGAACATTTGCTCTGATRATTCGTCTGTGCAAATTGTCAGTTGATTTATATATATAYACATTATTTATCAATCTGTAATAAAAGRCGTGAGGAAATTCTGTCTTTTTCAAAGACGAAAAATTTTGAGGCGAAATACCCAAAAAGAAGTTTGTAAAMAATTTTTGTTTCTGTTTCAATTGCATGTTTATTTTTAATACGGCGCTTCTTCATATATRTTTKCGAATAACGCCTCAAAGTTGCAAAAAGATTAATCTTAATTCATTCTGAAGATGATAGCATCTATTCTTTCTATCTAAATTTTTTTCCAGACACTCACAAAAAATTCAAACTTCCTTCTCCTTATAGTAAAGCTCGTTAAGTTATTTAACAAATGTTTAAGCAACCAAAAAAATATATTTTGTTGCATCTTTCATTTTGAGTAAATTAAATTTCAAGTAACCGCTAAAAAGCCTTGCTTTACAAATGATTAATTTCCTGCTCTTATCTGTGCGCATATCCTGCAATAAATCACCCTTGCAAAAAGAGTTTTGGCCAATCAGGAATTATTTCAGCGAGTGGGGCTTTTCGGAATGGTAATAAATTTGGTTACCAGAAGAAAGTATTTAACTTTGAAATACATTTACAATATAATTATGTTCTGGCTCATTATAAGTTTAGATTTTATTGGCTTTTAATGTGTGTGTGATATGCAAAAATATCGAGTAAGTTAATTGCATCCAATATGTTGCTGTGATTTGCAAACTCTATTTATGACCATTATTCATTCAATTAGAAATACTAAATTTTTGCATGCGGTTTTATATTCTCCGATGGAATAAAACATAAATGAAGAAAATTGATAATACTGCCGCTGCAGATGGGCCACTAATACTTGAAAGACTTCCTATTTCTGAGGGTAAGCCTCTGTAGAACCCTACATTTCCTGCTCCGAAAGCTGCAAATACTAGTACGAGACTATACGAAGTAACGACGTGTGTATAGTTTATGAAGATTATACTCAGCTTAAATGGAAACTATTATAAATTGTTACAAGAGTTTATGAAGTTTTAATAGGATCAAATGTTACACTATGGAAGCTTAATGAAAAGCGTGAAATTTCACATGTGTGCAAGCCAAAGACTGCTCTCTTTCTTGGTCACACAGCCAAAGTTCGCTCTAATGGCTACTTTAAAATGGTCTGTGCGACTT